ATGGGCAGTTCAGGGTGGGCATCTCAGGGTGGGCACTCCCTGCCCAGGACTCTGTGTGGCAGTCACCACATGGGGCTGCCCCTGTCCAGCTGCAGCAGCACCAACCCCTCACACCTGAACCCCTCAGCCCTGAGCAGCAGCCAGCACTGGAGCAAAGCGCTGGCCCACTCCCAAGGGCTGGGACTGGAAGGAAGGGGCTGCAGACAAGATGCAGTGGACAAAAGCACCATCCCATGTTGGCCTGGGGATCAGAGGGGCACCCCCAACCCCTCCAAGGGGGCTGTGGCTGGCCAGAAGGGCAGCAGGCCAGGGTCCAGCCAGCCATGGTGAGTGCCAAGCACCAGAGGGTGGTTTTTTGCAGGAGGCCACAGCGCGTGGGCTCGGCACAAGAGGGATTTTCCTACTAAAACAGATGCGGGGGAGGGAGCACGTGAAAGACCACTAATCCCCTAATCCCAGGATTATGGCTCCATTTCAGGGGTTGGGATTTGACGGCAGCACAGGGGGCTACGCTATCAAGACCGCATTGGCTTATCCTGTGCGCAGGGTCCCGCCAGCATGTGGGGACAACTGAGAGTGTCTCTGAGGCAGGGGAGACTGAGGGGGCTTGATCTCCCAGCAGAGCACTGGCCTTAACCCTGGCCAAAATGCCCCTGACTGGGGTATGTGGTGCAGTATGTTGAAGGGAGAGAGGTCTGGCACGGTTTGGGCATCATCCATGCATTGCATTGCTTGCAGTCTTGCTGCAGGCAGCACAAGGGCATGGAGAAAGAGGAAGATCAACGCTTTTCCCTGGCCATGGAGTGGGGGATCAACTGCAAGTGGCCCCTGAGTCGGAGTAGCAGGCAGGATCCTGGCTCCAGGCCAGGCAGAGCATCAGTGCCCCACTTAACTGCAAGAGGCTGCCCAGGAATGACGACGGAGAGCGGCCAAGCCAAGAAGCATCCCTGCAAACTGTCCTGTACCCCTGCAGAGACTCCTGAGAATGTCCCAGACCCCTCTGCACAGAGCCTGGGTGGGGGGAATCATTCTCACAGACATTCCTAGGGCTGAAGTCCTGGCTGCTGGCCACACAGCCCTTGCCTGTCCTATTACCAGCAGCGGTCAAACCTCCCAGGAGTGAGACACGTGCTGGAGTCACTGGGAAACCTCCTGAGGGCAGGGAGCGGGCAGCCTGGCAGTGTGCCACACGGCCAGTGAGGGCGGCTGTGCTGGGGAGATGCTGGTCAGCACATTGCACTGCCTGCTGTGATCCCTGGGCACTGTCAACAGCCTGCCCATCCACATCCCACCAGGATGGGACACCCCACACTGAGGACTTGAGGCATGAGGACAAGCAGCTCCCAGGGAAAAGAAGAGCTGGTGCAGGAAAGACCCCAAGATGATGGAGGTGCAGCAGGACAGAAGGGCAGTGATGCTAGCCAAATATTGTAGCAGTGGGTTTGCATCACAATGTGCTCTCACCACGCTGTCCTGACAGCCCCAGGAGCCCAGGGGCAACACATTCTGCAGCACCTTGGCAGGATGGAGTGCTCTTGTTCACCTCCATCCAGACAAGTCAGGGCCCTGCCACCAGCATGGGGCAAAGGCAGAGCTCAGAGCTGACACAGGCACCAGCTGGGACTTGACTCCAGCTGCAGCAGCAGGACAGGACATGGAGGGAGGCGCAGCATCCCGTGAGGCTGGGTGGGGAGCCACGGGAGGCACTGCAGCTGCCTGAGGCTGAGAGCAGAAGGGCAGCAGTGGGGCAGAGCTGGCAGAGGCTGTGGGGCAGGGCTGGCAGAGGCCGTGGGGCAGAGCTGTGAGCTCCTGCGTCACACGAGCCCAGCACAGCGCGCAGCTGGCGCAGCGTCCCCAGCTGCCCTTGCCCAGATGTCTTGCCAGCAGCAGGACCACGGCAGTGGGCGGCCGGGCAGCCTGGCACAGGGATCAGCAGCAGAAGCAGCCTCCTCCCACCAGGCCCAGCTCCTGGCAACGCAGCTGAGGAGCCCCCAAGCAGCCCTGTACCAGTTGCAGTACCCTGGGGATTCCAGGCAGCCACTGCTGAGCCAGGGCCAGAGGGCCCAGCGATGGCCGAGGAGCAGCTGCATGGCCACTTGCCAGCCGCTGCCAGAAGGGTTTGGGTGCAGGATCAGCTGATGAGGCACTGAAGTGTCCTGTGCCCCACACGGCACCCGTCGCTCAGTCCCACAGCCTGTGCAAGGACCTCCACCCTTGGCACCCCACTGAAACACCTGTGGTGTGTCCAGTGGCACGGAGACTCCTTGAGAAGGTACTGATGGGGCTGTGGCTGCTGCAGCCTCCCGGCAGCATCCCACCCCCCACATCATCGGCCTCTACCTGCTGCACACCCTTGGCTCACCTAATGATACCCCGAGGGCACCCAATCTGCCACAAACCTGACCTGAGTGTCAGCGAGAGGGCTGGAGGAGATGGGAGGGCTGGGGGAGTCTCCTTAGCATCCCCTGTCCCTCACGTGTACCCCTCCGTGCACGGTGCCCCAAGCGCCCCTGTCCCTCCCTTGCGTGCTGGCCCCGCTCGGCAGGGCCCTGCAGGGCGTGCAGCCAGGGCTGGTGGGGTCCCTACTCTAGCCAAGCCCCCCTCAGGGCCTCCCCTCCCACCTGGGGCCAGCCCCACACAACTGCCCCACAGAGCCTGCTCCATGGCCCACAGCCCGCGAGCCCAGGGCCCTCAGGGGGGCCGGAGAGCTGCGGAACCCCCTCAGCACCGACAGCCACGGCAAGGGTGACACCGGGACCGGTTTCCATGGCAACGAGAGGCTCCTTAACTGCTTGGTTGCCATGGCTACTGCCGCCGAGCCCGACCGCTCGGGACACAGCGGGGCTGCGCGGTGGGGACGATCCGGCGCCCTCTCGGGCCAGGGCGGCTGCCCCACGGACAGCGCACCGGGCACGGGGCAGCCGCCCCACGTGCAGCCCGCGGGGGAGGCCCAGCCCCACGGTGGGTCCCAGGTGGAGCACATCGCTCCCCGGTGCCGCGGGGCCCGGGCGGCGCTGCGCTCGCCGTGGGACCGGGCCCCGCGGGACAGCGGCAAGGGGCCGCGGGGCGGGGCCGCCAGGGCCACACCCCCACCGGAGCCGTCCCGTCCCGTTATCGCCCCCTGGCGGCGCCGCGCAGCCCTGCCCGCCCCCGCACGGACCCGCTCAGACCTCGCCAAGACCCCGCGCAGCCCTGTCCGCCCCCGCCGCCGCCCGCACGGATCCCATTTCCCGGGTCAAGCCCGGGATCAGGCCCGGCTCCTGCAGTGACCTGCCCCCGGCCCCGAGGTCCCCGCGGCGGCGCCGTGTCCGTACCCTGCCCCGCCCGACACCGGGCGGTCCCTTGCGGCCACCGCCCCTTCCCAGGGGCTGAGATCCCTCCTCAGCACCACCCGCCTGGGGTCGCTCCAGGGCAGGGCCTTCCCAAAGGGCGGCCCCGGGAGCCACAAGGCGACCTGAGCACGGCGCCAGCTCACGGACGAGCAGGGGCCCTCCAGCTGGCCGGGGGTTCCCGCACCGCCCCGGCACTGGCAGCACGGCCGGCTGCAGCCTTCGCTCCTGCACCGCCCCGAGATCCCCGGGATCTCCGTCACTCTGTTCCCCCCACGCGTGACACTGACATGGGGTCAGGTAACACCGAGAGTTCGCCCAGGGCCGAGTCCCTCCCTGACCACTGCTGTCCAGAGCTCCTGCCTGCCATCCGCAGCCCCTGCCAGTCCTGCAACCGCCAGCCCCATGCACCCCTCCCATCCATCCCCCGGGAGGCAGCATCCGTGGTCCCAGCACTGTGGAGAAATGTGGGATATGAGGAATCCCTGAACGCTGCCAAGCCCTAAGTAGCCACCCTGCCATGGCTGTGACCACCCCACAAAACAGGGCACCTCCAGCAGGACCAGCCACTGGCTGTCCTCTGGGAGGGCACAAGGTCACAGCTCAGCCAGAAGGATGTGTCCCCTGCTCCCACCACGGCCATTTGGCATGCCCACCCCGGCTCCCCACAGCCCCCCACCAGCAGACTGGCTGCCAAACCGAGGAGCTGCTCCTGGAGGGCCCCAGAATTCAGCCACAGCCCTGGCTCATCACAGTCCGCTCCGCCCCAACACAGCCCACAGGCCAGGCCCAGCTGGCCCAGCTGCCATAAAGTGACAAGTGGCCCTGCATCCCCTTGCCACTGGACACAGCCCTACATCACCCACGACAGTGTGATCCTAGACAGGGCCCCAAAGGCCAGAGCCCACTGACAGAGGCACAGCCCAGCCCGGGTGTCGTGGTGTCCCTCCGGCTGCTCGCGCCTCCCACCCGCGCCCTTCGCCGAGGGTGCAAGGTCACAGCTCAGGCAGCACAGCCCCGGTGCTGCCGTCGGCCACTTTTCTGGGATCAATACGGCTCCGGTGACAGCAAAGCCCCACCGCCACGTCCCCTGGGCACCACGAGGCGATGGCTGCCGGCTCCAGTGCCTGTGCCCATGGCAGCCCGGTGGGCACTGCTGCATCTGAAGGCTGGCCACAGCTTGCCCTGTCCCGGCTGGGCAGCAGCCACCCTCCACCATGGCTCCCTGGGGAGCAGTATGTGACCCCACACTCACAGCCGACCCACAGCCATAACCCCGCTCCATCCCCCTGCCGGTCCGGCGGCAGCAGGGCCTCGCTCCAACAGCTCCCGGTACGGGGACAGAACAGGGGAGCTCCCTGAGGAGCGGAGGTGCCTGCGGGGAAAAGTCTGAGACGAGGGGTCCTGCCCGGGCGGGCTGCTGAGCCCCACTCCCTGCTCTGCACCTCCCATGTCCCGGATCCCGCAGCTCCGTGCCATCCCTACTCCGGGGGTCTGCACTGCCTCTGAGGGTCCAGACCGACCAGAGCTCCGCACCCCCCATGGTGTCCCGACGGCCCGGCCCTCCTTGCGGACCCTCCCCGCAGACCCTGTCCTGCCCCGCGGATCCTCGTCGCGGACCGTGTCCCGCCTCCGGAGCCTTCCCGGGACCCCCTTGCCCCCGGCGCTCACCCCCGCCGCCGGTGACGGTGAACCGCCCGCTCATGGCCCCGTCGTCGCCACAAGTGGCTCCGGCCCCGGCGGTCGCTGAGCGCGGCCCCGCCGGGCGCTGACCGGGGTCCTAGTGCCCGCGGCACCGCCCGCCGCGCCGCCCCCGCGGCCGCAGGGCTGGCTCCAGTCCGAGTGGATCGGCTCGGCCCCGCTCCGGTCGCCTCGGTTCGGCCCCGGTCGCCTCGGTTCGGCCCCGTTCGGCCCGGCTCGACTCGACTCGATGGGACCGGACCGCCCCGCCACGCCCGCTCGGTCCCACAGCCGCCGCCGAACTGGGGGTGCTGGGACCGTGCCCCAACGGGACGGGAGGGGGCCGCGCTCTGCCCCCGCCCTGTCCGGAGCCGCGGCCGCTAATTACAGCTAATTACAGCCCCGGAGTTGCGGCTGCCCCACCCTGCCGCGGACCCGGGCACCCTCGGGCACGATCCCGGTCCTGGCCCTGCCGCCGCGCTCTGCGGCCACGCAGGGACAGAACGGGCCCGGGGGAATCTACGGGGTCAGCCCGAGGAGGGGTCTCGGCGGCAGTGGGGAGTCCGGTCACACGCTGAGTGCCGGCCACACGCGGTGACAACAGCCCGCTCCTCATCTCGGTGCAAAGGTGGGGCGCAGGGGGGGGCGGTGGGTGGAGGATTATGCGGAGCCAGGGCTTGGGAGGTCTGGCGAGTCGGGGCGGGGGTGCCGCCCCTAGCGTAGGGCTGGTGGTGGACAGTGTTGGGACCGAGGGACATCATTCTCCGTTGTACCCAGTGTCCCTGCGGGATCCAGAGTCCTTAGCAAAGGGGGATTTGGTGGCGGCCCCCCCACAGTGCCCCCTGCCCACTGGTGCTGGTACTCTCGGGGCACTGTGGGGGAGGATGATGCTCCCAGCACATGGGAGTTCTCCAAACCAACAGCTGATAGAGCACTCGAGGCTGTGTCCAAAGAATTGTCTTTATTACAAATGGGCAGGCAATTGGCAGAGGGGCTGGTTGGCAGAGTGGGCAGTGGGCAGGAGTAGGCAAAACCCTGTGTCCCACCCTGGTATGATCCCAGGCGCCAGCTCCCAGTGGGGCTCAGCCTGACCTGGCATCACTGGCTCAGGAAAAAGACAAATTTGTCTTGAATCCATGTGCGGTTTGCACCAGACAAACGCCTCTGTGCAGTGGAGCTGGCACTGGCAGGGGTGGCACAATGCCATCTGTGGCAAGAGTCCTTCTCCCCAGCTGGGGCTCTCCAGGCTGGGCAGCTCCCAAGAGGTGAGGACCCCCTACCCCTTTCTTCCAGGACCATGGTGATCTCATCTGGGGCTACCCACAGCCACAAGGCTCCCAGGAGTCAGCCCATGAGACAGGAGCCCACAGGTTGGGAGCAGTGGGCAGGGAGCAGCACTGGCAGAGCTGGTGGCTGGTCAGGCCTTCAGTTCTGGGGACACTGCAGGATGTCATACTTGACGTAGCCCACCCTATCCACCTGGTAGCGCGGTGTCATCCTCCAGTAGAAGCTGCCCCGGCAGAAGTGGTACTTGCCTGGGCAGGGAAGGGGATGGAGGGAATGGAGGGTCAGCGGGAGTTTGGCCATACAAAGACCCATCCTGGCGGCTGCCCAAGCAGCACAGGCACATGGCACCCTGCACCTTGCTGGCACCCTGCCAGCTGCACCACAAGGACCCACCGGAGCTGATGGCCCCCCTGTCCTGGGACCATTCCCCACACACCCGAGCATCCCAAGCCAGGAACCGGAGCAATGCCATGAGAAGCTCAGGTAGCCCGGGCCTGAACCCACAGCACCCACCCACCAGGTTCCACTCACCTTGGTAGAGGAACACATTGCGTGCATCAAGGGGGACGCCGGTGAAGACATCATCGGTGGCACGGGGGTAGCCCTTGTCCACCCTCTGAACCTTCACGTCCAGCCTGTGGGAGAGCAGAGCCGTGCTCAGGGCTGCTGGGAACCCCCCTCCCAGCCCCTGGCCAGGGCTCAGGCAGGCGCTGCTGCTCTCCAGTGCTGCTCACCTCCAGTAGCTCTCCCCGCTGAAGAGCAGCACTTTGCCGCGGCCCCGCTGCAGGGCCCCCGAGAGGCGGCCAGCTTCCTTCCCTATACCCAACTTCTCGATCCCCCGGGGGCCCAGCGCACTCTTCCCAGAAAACACCCAGAACTGCCGACCTGCAGTGGGAGATAGTGGGGGTGTCAGGCAGTCCTGAGAGCTCCCAGGCTTCACCAGGCTCCTCCCACTGCCCGTGGGACTGGGCGAGGGCAGTGGGGGCAGAGCTCACCAGCGAAGAAGAAGACCCTCTTGGTGAGCAAATCCTGGAAAACAGCATCGATGGTGTCTGGGAGGCCAGGCCAGGTATCAGCAACAGAGAAGGCACCCTGGATGCCCGATTTCCAGAAGGATGAGTAGGTCCAGTATTTCCTGGTGGGGAAGATGAGCTGTCCTGATCACCTCAATCTGCCACAGCTCATGTCCCTCACATCCCTGTGTTCCCCCACATCCCACCTCACCAGGGCAGGAGGTGCCAGATGCTGCCACTCACCCATCCTTGAAGAAGTACAGCTCCCCATTGATCTCTGTGATAGCATCAAAGTTCTTCTCCATGCAGGCATCCCGGCTGGGGTCCACAGGAATGGGTCCAACTGTGGGCTCTGGCGTCTCCTCCTCCTCCTCCTCAGTGGTGGACGTGCTTCCAGCCTCTGTGGGCAGGGGCTGGGGCTCCTCCGTGGGCAGGGGCTGGGGCTCCTCTGTGGGCAGGGGCTGGGTCTCCTCCGTGGGCAGGGGCTGAGTCTCTTCAGTGGGAGCAGGTGCAGGTGCAGTGGGCTTAGGGCCAGAGCCACGACCTGAGTGAATACAGGGGAGGGCATGAGGCTGGAATCAGTTTGGTGCTGCAGGACACCCAATGCACCCAGCTGCAGTGCAGCTGCTCACCATAGAGGTACTGGATGCCCTGGACGTCATCGGGGTGCAGCTGGAAGTCCTGGATGTAACTGTACATAGGGTACATCAGTGCCTCACGCACACTGGAGTGGTCCAGACCCAGTGAGTGTCCAAACTCATGGGCAGCCACCAGGAAGATGCTGTAACCTGGGAGAAAGCACTGGCCTAAGTGCCTGGTGGGCCACAACAGGGCGGGACACACCATCCAGAGACTGTGGTCCCCACAAGAAGTGTGACAATATGACATGGGTCTGGGAGGCACAAAGGGGAGCACAGGTAGAAGGAGCAGTACCTCTGTCAGGGCAGAAGCCCCACTTCTTGTCAGTGTCATAGTTGCTGGTGGTGGCACACCAGAGCTTGCCATCCTGTCGGCCCTGGCTGGTGCAGGAGCTGTAGGACTGTCCCAGGAAGGTGAAGGGAAAGACGCACGGGTCCCCCTGGGAGTTGCCGCCGATCACCGCCGTGTCTGCAGCAAAGTGTCAGTGAGGCTGTCCCTGGCCCCTGGCTGCACCAGCCAGAATCCAGGACAACGCTGAGACCCCTCATGTGCCCCCTCCCCTGCATGCCCCCCTCCCTGCTGGCACCTCGGTTGGGGCAGAAGCCGTATTTCTTGTCCTGGTCGAAGCTGGAGGTGGTGGCACACCAGCGGTAGCCATCGGAGCGCCCGTCTGTGGTACAGGTGTCGTAGGAGGTGCCCTCGAAGATGAAGGGGAAGACACAGGGGGCTCCATCGCTGTTGCCGCCATTGGTGTAGAGGACTGTGGGGTGAGGGAGAGTGAGGAGGGCCCCAGGCACCGCGGGGCTGGGCAGGGGTTATGGTTGCCACTACTCACGCTCGCTGGGGCAGAAGCCATATTTCTTATCCCGGTCGTAGTTGGGGGTGGTGGCACACCAGGGCAGCCCATCCTTGCGCCCCTCCGTGGTGCACTGGGAGTAGGAGTGGCCCTCGAAGATGAAGGGGAAGTGGCATTCGGCTCCATTGGCATTCCCGTGGCGGGTCTTCACCACTGCTCAGAGAGGGGTGGCTCAATGCTGCGGCTGCGGTTGGCACCATCAGATCCCCCCCAACCCACCACATCCTGCCCTTACCTAAGCCAGTTCCCAGTGTCCAGAACTCATCATCGTCAAAGTGGGCATCACCCTGGATGCCCTGGCCTGGGGGAAAGGCGTGGGCCAGGAGCCCGTCCTTGCCGTCGAAGGGGTACCCGTCCCCATGCTCTGCAGGGAAAAGCACCCTCAGCTGAACCTGCCAGAGGAGCCCTCACGTCCCCAGCACACACACAGACACCCAAGCCCTGCACACCTCCTGCACGTATGGGGGCAGGGGGACTCTGTGCACAACCCAAGGAGACGTGGGGTAAGGATCTCACAGGCAGCGTGCATCACCAGGCCCCTCCTCACTCCCTGCCTACCCAAAGGACATCACCTTGGCTGCCAAACATGATCATGATGTCTGCCTCGCCACTGTATATCTGGGTGAAGGTGAGAGGGGTCACATCGCTCCACACTTGGAACGCGCGTCTGAAGGCGTCATCGATCACGGCACGGTCCAGGTCGGGGGAGTAGTTTATCACCCTGCCAGGGAGGCAGAGGGTCAGTGCTGCTAGCTTCCCTCCTCATGCAGGAGTGACCCTGTTCTGGGAAGGAGCAGACCCCCACCTCCAGAGGTGAGAGCAGTCACCACCCTGGCCTCACCCAGGGCTCAGGTGCCCTTCTGGGCACTGGGGAGCAGATGCTGCTGTTGTCCCAGCCCTGGCAGCATGGGGACCCAGCTGTACAGGCAGCACCAAGCCTGGAGAAGGGCTGAGCAGAGGCTGCCAGCCTCCTGCTCCCTCAGGCTCTCCATTCTCCTGGCACCATCACCCTGGGGACACAAGGGTTCATCTCCAGAGCAGACTCACCGGTAGGTCAGGTCCATGTGGTCCCACTTGAGGTCCCCCTCAAAGGTAAGGAAGGTTCCCACGTCAGGGACGCCACAGCGGGGGGCTCGCATGGCCTCCAGTGTGGCAGCATCCAGCTCTCCCGTCTCCTCCAGGCCCAGCTGCTTCTGCATCTTGAGCAGTGCCTTGCCCAGGGACACGTGCCTGCCACCAATCTTAGCCTCTGCCTCCGTGGTGTAGCCGAACCTCTGC